CCTAATACATGGACTGCAGTTCCTTTGCAGTCCCTCAGACTTTCTGAAGGTTTAAAGGGACCCGAAGTTGGAAAGTTTTAGGAGTACTGACCCAAGACGTGGCCAGGGAAGGGGAGGCCAGCGTGGTCACCCGGTTTCCTCAAGGCTGCCTCTGTTGGTTTGTCCTCACTGTGGAAGCTTGAAGAGAAGCCCTCGCTCTCAGGATCCCGTTAACCGCAGCGGCTGAGCTCCCAGCTCCCTTTAACCGCAGTGGCTGAGTATGTTCGTGCCTATGGCAGGTCTTGATTCCTGTGTTGGGGGTTTGAGTGCCGTAAAGAATGGTCAAATACTGGTCTCATTGTTTCTTCAGCAAGAAGCAGCATTTCATTTCACAGTTTGGTCATTGTCGTTGTGGGGATGAGATGAGATGTAGAAGCTGCCAGCGCGGCTCCTCTGCTCCACAGTCCTGGGACTTTGACCTGGATTTTATTACTCACAGGTGCCATTTGCTAATTATTATGTAATACTGGTTCAGCATAGGTTTAAGTTTATTGAAGCTTAGTAAATTTTAATTCTATTTCTCCTTACCATGGGGAATTTTATTCTCCTTGAGAGTCTGAAGTGGCAGTCTGTTTGACTGATCGATTTGTAAATCACTGTCAACTTCAGGCTCCTGTCAGAAAGAAAGCTCTTTTACCCAATTGTTGGTATGTTTGCTTAAGTGCATATTTTAATTTTTTTTAATAAGTCCTATCCTGCACACACAGACATGTACAAAGATTGCACAACAAAGCCAATCAAAGGTGATCTGGAGGTGATGAGTCAGCCCTTTCAGATTATTAGCTAGTCTCTGTTAGGCTCAGCAGGCCCCCAGACACTTTGATATACTTCTAGTGAGAATGAATTGCTGTCGGTGAAAGGGAAGGCCCTTTGGGACCAGCTGCTCCTTTGAAGATGTATGGCCGTACTCTCAGATGTAAGCACACTGTGTCTGAATCATACCAGACCTTGTGCAGAATCGTCCTGCATACTAAATCATCCTCTGGGTAACTGTAACTTCAATCTTGATCTTCTGGAGTGCTTTCTGGGAAATTCTTTCCTGAAAAAAAGGCACCAAAAGGAAGAGACACATCTTTACATTTGGAGGTTTTACCCTCCTATACCCATTCCATAGAAATACCCTCTGACTCATGAAACGGCAGCTTCTGGAGATGTGGGCATTGTTATTGTGGGGGCTTGGGAGCTCCATATGCACAAATACTTAGCTTTTAGAGTCAGTTTAGGAGAAATGACCTTAAAACAAAGTTTTAAAACTTGAAAACAAGCCCGTTCTAGTGGTATGTATCTGTATTCCCGGCATTTGGGAAGCTGAGTTGGGAGATCTGCAGGGTTACCTCTGAGTGAGGGGGAGACCCCACCTTTGGACACCTGGCTTTGCTAACAATTAACCGAGTTACCTTAAATGTCTGAAATAAAACGAAGTTCTTGGGGACTGAAGGTATGACTCAGTGGTTAAGAGCATCAGTTGCTCTTACAGAGGACCTGGGTTTGATTTCTTGCACCCACATGATGGTTCACAACCATCTGTAACCCTAGTTCCAAGGGATCTGATGCTTTCTGAACTCTGCAGGCACTGGGCACACAAGTGGTGCACATAAATACATGAAATGCAAAACCACTTGGGTATGACCTCTTAAAGGCTATTGGCCAAAGGAGCTCCCACAGAACCACATAAATAAACTAAAGCTACACAAATTAAGATTATTTTAAAACAACAACAAACCCACCAAAGCTTTCTTGAGAAAGCCATCCTTATAAATTTACCGCAAGAATTTAGTGCAAGAATTATTTTAAAAATCCTCTCAAGGATGAATGCCTCTGGTTAAATGATCACTTCCTTGTGGGTAGACCTGGAAGAGAACTCAGGTCATTGTAAATGTCAGCCCTGCTTCTCCTATTTCCTGTGCCTGTGAGAACTCCAGTTTGTTTGCCCATGGTAGAATTTTTTCAGGACTTACTAGAAATGAGCTTGCTCTGAAAAAATCTAGTCACCCACTGCTGCCAATGAGGTATCTTGGCTCAGAGACTCCACACCTTCCTGTGTAATACCTCCAGCTGGAGACCAAGTGTTCAAATACATGAGTCTGTGGAGGATGTTTCGCATCAAACCATGACAGGATTTTGTTAGGATGTGCTTGTAAATTAGCAAATAAAAAGAGAGTACTTTGAACTCAGTGGAGAAAATAGCAGTGTACCACCGCCCATTTTTGTGTATTAGTTTAATATTCTTAGTTTTATTGGTAGCTAAACCTTACTTAGGTGATTGTCATGCTTAAGACAGCAAGAAGTACATACTTGTCGGAGAGTAGAAGATAGGTATTAAATTAATCTCTACCCATGTGGAACCAATTCAGCTTTTGTAGGGTGCTCACTTAAGTGGTTCCCAACCCCTGGGTGGGTTGTGACCCCACAGGTTGTATCTGAGATATTCTTCTTATCAGATATTTACAGTATGATCCATAGCAGTAACAGAACTACAGTGATGGAGGAGCAGCAAAATAATTTTATGGTTGGGGTCATCACAGCATGAGGAATTGTATTGAAGGGTCACAGCATTAGGACGGTTGAGAAACACTGCTCTAGACAGTTCCATGCATGTTGGCTCTGTTATTCCATCTGGTGTACTTTGCTGTTTCAGAGAGCACCCAAGTCCATCAGACACAGATACCTATAAGTCACCCAGAAGAATCTGAAATGTACAAACAATTATTAATAAGTCAAGAACAACTTACTGAGTACTTAATGTTCCTTAGTCATATTATCAAATAACATGGATTTTGTTGAAAATAAGATTTCACATGTAACTAGGGTTTGATAAATTTTATGATATTTTAAATTTTAGGTTATTAAGTAAAAGCTATTTTTTTCCTTTTTGAAAATGTGGTATGTTGGTTAAAAAAAATACTTTCTGTGATCTTCATTTATGTATTGTGACCATATGTCTTCAGCCAGAAGTTGCTGTTCATTCTTTGCCCTTCCTCCCTCAGTGAAATAGCCCTGGCTAGAGGCATGCAACCTTTTTGCTATTAAGTTTCTCTGAAGCTAGGCCAGGGAGCTTTGTCAAGATGGTTGAGGAGTGTGGTTATGTCTCAATTTGTTCTGACTGACTTTGATTGAATAGAATCTTGGGCTGTCCAAGGAGTTTGTTCTGACATGTGAACTCATTCTGTGACATACTGAACCAACAAGTGGTTCTCCTCCCTCACACATGGCAGAGAAAGAACCACAGCTTCAGGCTGTTGTGCCAATTAGGAACTGGCCTGTGTTTAGCTCTGTGGTACTTAACTGTTCTCCTCTCTGTAATAAAATACCCAACTAAGCAACTTTATTTTGTCTCCTCGTTGGGGAGATTTTTAGTTCATCACGGCAGGGAAAGCATGGTGAGAACAATTCAGTGTGTGTCGGTGGTAGCATGACTGTTTCTCTTGACCACCCAGGATGCAGAAAATTCTAGATCTTTTTAAAGGCAGGTATAACCTTCCAAAAGTCGCTCCTGGTCACCTGCTGCTGCATGCTAGCGCTCTTAGTTCAAAGGTTCTGAAACCTTCCAATATTGTACTCCATAGCTGGGGACTAAGTGTATTTTCGAGTCTTTGGGGGTATGTCACATCAAATCATGGCAGGATTTTATCAGGTTAGATTCCTGTCCTTACCTTTCTTCTGAGGAAGTTTATTCTTGATTCTTAAATTTATTTTTAATTTTGTAAAAATATGAAACAATTTGAAAGCAGATACTAGTATAACAGCCTTTCATACCTTCATGTGTCAGAGAGTGTGTTGTTACATGCTGCTTTGCCAGCATCCTCAAATACAGGAAAGACCTTATCCCACACAACAGCTTCCTATGTTAGAATCAGAAAATTAAGAAAGACATCTTAGTAATAACTCGATCATTATGTGAAAGAAGGTCACAATAATTCACAATTGAAATTCTGATGCTAAGCCTGGCATGATGGGGCACGCCTCTAATCCCATCACTCAGGAGGCAGAGGCAAATGGATCTCTGAGTTTGAGACCAGCCTGGTCTACAAACTGAGTTACAGGACATCCAGGGCTACCCAGAGAAACCCTGTCTTGAAGCCTCTCCCTTCCCTGCCAAAAAAAAAAAAAAAAAAAAAAAAAAAAAAAAAAAAAAAAAAAAAAAGTCTGATACCAGGAAAAGTCTGTAGTTAGTCCAAACCTACTGACAAATCAGAGGCAGGCAGATGGCCGTGGTAATGGGGCTGTCCATGTGTTTGTCTGGGATTCTAGACTATGTCTGAATTCAAGTTGACAGTTTGTCTGTGAGCTTTCTTTGATGACTGGTCACTTGATGACTGTATAGTGCCAACTTTTGACTCTGCAGTTGGCCCAGGTTCCTGTTTTCAGAGAGCCATCCTGGTCATCTCATCTGCTTCTTGGTGTGTCTCTGGGAGCTGTTTTTCATTACCAGTTTGGGAATTTCAGGCCATCACAGAATTCAGTTATGTGGCTTGCAGTGCCCACGGCACCGCACAGATGGTCTTGTGTGAGTGGGTGCCCACCCTTACATCTCTTTTGCTGAGGGGTGAGAGTACCTGTTTGTAATTGGATAGAGCTGCTTTTTCTCATTTCATATAGTTCCTGTCTCATTGTCAAAACAGTATCGCGTCGGAGATGAGTACAATAAAGAACACTTTTTCTTAGAAAAAAAAATGAAAATTTTTAGAAGACTGGTTCTTTGAAAGATTTATTATAGGAAATTTTAATTTAAAAATTTTCCTGGTAATATTTAAATATGCATGTTTATAGAAATACTGATTAAATTTCAAGTTTTTAAAATACTTAAACTCAAGAAAAGCTTCATACAGCCTTTTGCCTTGACCAAATGATTGGAGTTCTTTATTTATATGTGTATTTGAATGATTTTTATAATAGGAACTTTGTTTACATTAAAATTATTATACATACAGACTGTGATTATTATTGTATGTGTTTTTTAGGCTCTTGCAGACCAATTTGAAGATAAAACTACATCTGTACTGGAACGTCTGAAAATTTTCTATTGCTGTCAGGTACCCCCTCACTGGGCTATTCAGGTACTTCTGTTTGTCTTCATTTTTTAACTATTTTAGTGAAATCAGTAAAAGCAGATGGGGAGTTCCAGTTGTTTTAAATTGCTGTTTTGATTAAAATGGTAATGGATTTAGAAACGTTTTGAAATGGTTTTAAATTGGTAGTAGGTAGGATCTTAGAATTTAAAATAGAAGACTCATAAATGCTTTTGTTTTTCTTTTCATGAATTTAAGTTTCTTAAGAAAACGTTTTAATATAGAATTAAGCAGAGGTGTGGAGAGCGGGAGAAAGAACGGAAGGAGAGAGAATGTGCTAGTTAGGAATGGATTTGGGCTTCTCAGGACAGTTGCCTGCTTTCACTTTCAAAAGGACATTTTATATTAGCCTTTTAAAGATTTATTTTTTATTATGGATGAGTATACGTGTGTGTGTGTGTGTGTGTGTGTGTGTGTGTGTGTGTATGTGTGTGTGTATGTGTGTGTGTATGTATGTATGTGCAGATGATCATGGAAGGTAAAAGACAGTGTCCAGAGCTGGGGTTGTAGGTACTTGTGAGCCAATTGATATGAGGCAGGGAACTTAACTGTCTGGGCCTTGGAAGAGCAAGAAGTGCCTGTTATCTGCTGAGCCATCTTTCAAGCCCAACGTTTTATATTCAATTATCTTTAAGGCTTTTCTACGAAACAATAAACCTTTGAACCTTTTAACAGTGTTTACAAAAGCAAGTAAAAGGAAAGCATTTATTTGACACTTTATGTTTTGAGATATTCCCAACTGTTCTCTTTCCAGGGTGCAAGGGTGACTGGGGGAGCTCCTAAAGCTCCAGACTGAGCTGGCGTGCAGCCTTTTGTCCCATGATTCTTAAATGTGAGCTGAATTTCAAAGAGAAAACACAGGGACCACTGACCTGAAACCAGACCTTATTCAAAAACATCATTTTCTTTATTTTCTTATAATATTTTTTCCATTCCTGTAGGATGGGCAACTTAAAACATATTCTATTTATTGTTGAGTGTATTGTTTACTGGCCTGCACCTACTTTACTTGCTCATCTTGATCCTTTAGGGCCTGTGGAATTAAGTGACTCAGATTACTAGTCTGTGTCTAAAACAAGTAGGACTGCTTGAGACAGAGCCTGAGATGCCCTCTTGTGTAAAGAGGAAGCATAGAGGTTTTAATAGTGCCTGCATTGCTTTCTCAGAGCTTTAAATACTGGTCTGTGGGATGTGACCTTTGCAAATCAGAGCTTCTCATGGAAGAAATCTTTGGATGAGAAGGAAATAATTGACTTTTTTTTTTTTTTGAGTTCTGAGATCTTAAAAATCTGATGCATTGAGTATTTTGATCAGTTTCTATTTTGTTTTTAGTACTTCATTGCCTGTAAAAAAAGCTTACTGAAGTAAGTGTGGTTCTCACAAATTCCTAGGTAGTAGACGCTGAATTTCGTAAATGGTGTATGTATTACAATAAGCAGCCCTTTAAGAGGCAGGTTGGATACTGGGCAAGATGGATTTGCTTCCTGTCGAGGAGTGTTGATGACTCTCATTTGTCTTTCTAGCGCCAGCTTGCAGGTTTGCTCTTTGAGTTGGGATGTACCACTTCAGCCCTTCAGATATTTGAGAAGCTGGAGATGTGGGAAGATGTGGTCATCTGTTATGAAAGGACTGGGCAGCATGGGAAGGTACGTGACAGGCATGTCTGTGTGTGGTGAGAAAGCCCGCTTCTGACAGTGTTTACTCCAGTTCCTCCTTTCACTTGGGACTTTGCAGCGTTTGCTCTGATTTATGTTGGGCAGCTTATTTCATGTCTGTAAAGAGAAAAGCAGCCCGCAGTTGATATGACATTGGCATTTAAGAAAGAATAATAAAAGCTTTGAAGGTACTGCATGTTTTGATCGATTTTTCTATCGATTCTTCTGTAGGACAGCTTTGAAGTAAACTACCAGGATTAATTTTAACTGTCTTTGACATGCCTGATGGTTAGAGGCTGTGGACATGATGGAGTCATCTAGGAGGCTGAGTCTGTTTGAGAAGGTCTATGTGACCCCTGCATGAAGTGTGTGATGCAAATTTAACTCCACTCTTAAATTGGGTCAACAGAGAAAATGTACAGTTTGCATCTGTTATAAATCTGTTGTTTCTTCTCCTCATACGCGAACCATATGTTAAGACTTGTGTCTCCACATTGTGAGTAACCATAAAACTGGATACACTGAAATCATATGTTGATTAAAACAATTTATTTTTATTTTATGTGTATGTTTTGCCTGTATATGTATGTGCACCATGTGTGTGCTTGGTGCCCATAGGGGCCAGAGGAGGGTGTGAGATCCTCTGGACCTGGAGTTACAGGTGGTCATGAGCTCGTACATGTGGGTGCTGGGAACTGAGCTGAGTCCTCTGCAAGAGCAGCAAGTGTCCTGAACTACTGTGTCAGCTCTTGCGCTTTATGTGACCAAGTAGAGCCCATAACGACTACAGCCCTCAGGGTGCTTTTACTCTCACTCTTACCCTTTCTGTTGTTATGAGGATGAGGAACAGTGGTTCAAGTACACGATTTTCTTATATAGCTTCCCAAGTGTGAGTATTAAAGAGCTGTGATCAATGACAATGACATGAATTGGCCAACGACAGTGAAGCCCTTTGAGTTGTTCAGTGTAGGGAGAAACCAGCGTCACCAGGAGATTCAAGGTCCCTTTCATAGGTTTTTAGTCTTTCAGATAAAAGAATTTGGAGCTGGCTTACTGTCTCTGCAGGTAAAAACAATTGCCCATGCGAGCCTGGCAACCTGAGTTCCCCTGACTGGGGAGAGAGCTAACGAAGCTATCCTTTGACCTCCTCGTGCATACTCCATCTGTGCATGCATACACGTGCAATAATTCAATTTCAACAAAGCATGGAAATGGACTCAGAAATACTCAAGGACACTTATATTGGAGTTTGAGAATAGAAACCACAGAGGAGGAAAATTGGAGATTTTAGCAGTGTGGAGGAAGATGGAAAAGAGAAAATGTTAAACTTTTTAAGTTAGAGTTCGGAAAATCAGATCTGGTGGGACTGTTACCAGCTACAGATGTACCTTGAGTAGGGGTGGGGTCAGGGAGAGTCAGGTTGCCTGCAGAGTGAGAAGGAGCAGAGTTGGGATTCTGGCCAGTGTCTATAAATGGGAAAGAAAATTATACTTTGTGAGTTAGAACTCAGAACAGCAGGTTTGGCAGGGAGTCAGCCAGTAACCACATTGACTCTGTGTGTGTGTTTGTGTGTGTGTGATGGTGGTGGTGGTGGTGGCTTCTGGGGTATCCAAGTAGTTATCTCATTTAGGAGGTAGTTCTCACATGGTGCCAATGTCACCTCAGGTGTATCATGATTATTCTCATTTGACTCCAGACTGTCCTCTTGAGCTCATAAAGCAACATCTTCCCCCTAGAGGTTAAAGGAAAACTCCTATTGTCTACCTCAAAGGTATCAATCACTGGCTAAACCCTTTGTGAAGGAGGGTGCTGACTCTTGACCATGATATTTGTGCAGATCACGTCACCATGTCTGTACTTAGGTGTCTCTAAGGGTCTTCAAATGTGCAAGACAGACACCCTTGTGGAAAGGCAATTGTGTGGCAGGAAGCTGGCATCGCTGCATTGTGTCCCGTGTCCCATGGTGCCTGTGAAGCAACTAGCTGCAAATGGCCCTCCTTATTACCCTTTCCCAGCAAAGCATTCTTTTCCAGCAGGACTCAAGTTTTTCTGTCAAGATTTCATAATATCTTGATCCTGGAAAAGAATGCCACTGCTATCCTCTCATTCCCTCCGACTCCACACCAGCAGAAGATTCCCTCTCCTTAGGACTCAGCTCAGGCTGCAAAGTCTGCCACCATTCACCTGCTCAGGAGGCAGCATGGCATGATGGTTAAGGGCATCTTCTCGGGACAGCTGCCTGAATTCAGGTGTGCACTTGCTGTCATGCCAGCTTTGTGATGTTGAGCAGCTTGCTGTATCTACCATGTCTGTTTCCCTGTCTAGAAGCACACATCTGCTTGGCTTCTAGGTATTCCCATGGTAATGTGTGTATCCGGAGTGGTACTTACCTAGCTGTGCTTTGTGAGTATTTGATATGGTCCCAAGCATGTGTCTGTTTCATTTTGGTATCTTTGAAGTGACAGTGTTATCTGCAGCCAGATGTGTCTTTCAATTTCAGTCAGTCCGTTGACCAACCCATGAGGTGACCCATACTTGTGTCTGTGCAGGCTGGCTATAGTGGTCTCCATGTCACTATTTCAGTGGTGTTAGCATGCCGTTTGTTGGGTTTAATTGCCATCTAAAATGAAAAGATGATCTCAGTATGATTTAGCATCAAAATAAAAAGCTGTTAATTAAAACCAAAACCAAACAAACAAAAAACCAAAGTAGAGAAATAAATATGGAATTTGTGAAATAAACATTTGCCATTTATTGGTGAAGTTATCAGAATTTCACTGATCTACCTTTCCTTCCTTCCTTTCTTTCTTTCTTTCTTTCTTTCTTTCTTTC